GGACCTATATTTCGATGCGAAACCTAAATTTACTCCACAACGTAACCCCCAACAACCCATGCACGTGGCCGCTTTGAGTAAGCCAGTGGGAAGCAATGGGTTACCAAAGGATCCTGCAGTAGAAGCTTTGACCAAAAAGCGCTGCATTTCATTCGCGTGTGGACAGAAATCTGATACTACGAAGCCACCATCTCTGCAGTCAGTTGAGTCCCAACCACCAGTAAACGAGAAGCCGCAGAGGAAATCTTGCATAAAATTTGCATGTCCTGCAAAGCCAGCTCCTCGGACACCGCCGAAACAAGATGCGCAACAGTCCGTACTCACCTCAGCCATCGCAACACTAAAGGAAAGCAATGATTCTCCTGTCACCGTGCGTAAGCTTCGGTCGTCTTCCGCTACACGCGGGCGGTCGCATAGGTCATTAACCCCGCGACCGTCATCACGAAGCCCAATGCCAGTTCGGTCGGCCAAGTATTTGACTGCGAACCCAAATGATCTGAATAGCGAGTCTTCTCGTTTTCATGAGTTTGCTAGCGATGAGCCGCAAGAGGAGGACTGGATTCGTTTAAATCTTCCGCCACCTGGCCGTCGATTAACTATTAACGATACACTTAAGAAGGAAAATGAGATCCGGCGGTTAGGAAAAGAAGCCGAAGAGGAAGAATTGGAAGAGGAGGAAGATGAAGAGGCGGAGGAGCTAAACGACGACGATGACGATGAGGAGAACGAGGATGAAGAGGACGAAGTAGACCTGCCAGATGAGACTATAGAGGAAGATGAGATAGACGACGGGTACGAGGTCGACAACCAGTCAGGCTATGGATCTGATGACGACTTTTCGGATGGTTACAAAACCGACAACGAAAACGGATTTGCTGATTCAGATGATGATGACGATGATGGTGGGAATTTGGAGTTGTGGACTCCTAGTCGCGGTCCGGTTCAAAACTCCGGAAATACGCCTATATTCCGTCGACTATCTATGGCGGGTAACGGGTCTGATTCATCATCGTCTCCCGATATGCCTAACCCCCTGACCAGGACATCGCGAGAAAAGCCTCGTCGGATTAAGATGCGACCTGGTACACCAGAGTTGCCCGATAGTACCGATTTCGTTTGTGGTACGCTGGATGAGGACCGTGCGCTAGAGGACGCTTATATCTCGTGTATAGCCGCGAGGCGACGTGAGAAGCTTCATCCAATTCCCCAAGATATCGATCCGAGCTTTCCGACATCCGAGCCGGAAGATGAGGATATTGAGCTTGATATCCCTGTCCGTGAGAGTGATGGTCACCTATCTGAGGACCCGTATGACATTGAGAATGGTGTTGAGCGACGAAGAAGGAAGATCGACCAGATATCGCCTCGACGATATCATTCTCCACCGCCCAAGCGTCACCACTCTCCCCCAAAGCCGCGGGGCCGATCGCCCAAGCGTCTTTTCGACGGGTGTTCACCTCGTCGACTCGTCTCACCAGCTCCAGGCCCTATGGTACAGTCTCCTCCGTCATCATTGGTTCACGATGAGAACCGTGGAAAGCATGAATTCAAGACTCTTGCTTTCCGGCCTGGCTTGACGCATACCAAGTCACTCCCACGAGCTCCTGCAATGTTCCCGCATCATCTCAAGGGCCATCGTCGACCGGGCAAGTCTTCGAGCGCTGCGACGAAACGTCACGTACGAGGTGCGATTGACATTGTCAAAGGTCTCGAGCAGAAGCGCCAGCGCCGAAAGGAGAAATTTAAGGAGAAGTATTTTCAGAAGCATTGCAACAAGGCGCGAAAAGGCCAGGTTATTGAGAAGAAGCCTCAGCCTGGCCAGGGCGCCGAGAGGATGCGAGAGATCGGATTACTCATGGCTGGGAAGTTAGGCCCGGATCAGTTCGTGCTGTCCATCTAGTGGAGGCGTTGCTACGGCTACTGAGTACAGAATTGCATTGTTCATTATAATCCTTCATTGCATCTATTTTTTCATTTTACCGACGGACCCGGTATCATTAGTACTGAGACCGTCGTTGTACATAGTTTTTATTTTTCTCTCGTTCTACATGAACATTGGCGAGTCGATATTCTCGCGGGACAATGCATACTTCGCATTTCACGGCACAGGGGCAGGCAGCATTGGTCATTCATGATACCACTTGGGAACGGCACATCAAGCATTAACGGCGGCGGCGATATGGTTATATACTTGAAATTGAACTTGTTTGTTGACATATGATTGCCTGTTTGATCGTGTATTTTGGATCTGAATTAGGCAATGGATGAAATGGATTATGATGATTATCTGATGAGATGGCAATTCAACAATATAGTATTCAATATAGTATACGCTGCTCTGCTCATACTGTCTGTCTACACTGGATACGATCTTTGCGCCCGATAGTACATAGATTTGTGAAATGATGCCAAAGCCCGATGGGTTTCTAAAAGATGCATAGTGCATCTGCATGCAGTTTTTTATTCGGGATGTGTTCGCTGTTAGCGAGTATCGGTGTCACCGGTGTTCGTGATGAGCATGGGCTTAATCATGACTTTTGCTGATAGGTACTACCTAGTAGCAAACCTGTGACGTACTGAGTCACGTTTATACTGTATGTATGTAGGTAGGTACCTCATGTCATTATTATGGTGATATCAGGTGTTTTGTCAGAATATTTTCCGTTTCGTCTCCCAGTTGGAATCTGATATGTGGCTCCATAAATCCGCATGGCGGGTAGGTACCTACGTACACGTTGTCACCTACGAACACTTCCACCATAGATACCTAGCCACAAGTGGCTTGCTTGTGTGGCTTGCTAGCCGCAAGTGCTTCCAGGTTGTCCTTAACATCATTCAATTTTCTTGGGACGGCCTCGGACCCTATATCATTCATCTATCGTCCGCCCATCTCCGCGAACATCCTACGAAGACCGCACACCTTCGATTCAAGAGTGCACTCTTACATCTACTAAACTCGACTATTTTTGTCTAATTACAGCTATCGAATACTGTCAAGATGTGGATTGTCCAGTGGTGTCAGTTCCCCTTCCTAGCTCTCGAGTCTTATCAAAATTGGTTCGATCCTTCGGAATGGATGGCCGTGGCTGACGTTTTTTGTCTGTAGTCTACGATGTCCTCTCGTCGCTTGGCTTGATGAACAAGCATGCCAAGCTACTGTTCCTCGGCCTCGACAATGCGGGAAAGACGACTCTACTACACATGCTGAAGGTTCGTCGGTGGTTCCGTTTCTCCCCGCGCCCCGAGTCGGTGTCCTATATCGTACCCGGACGATTCTCTCGAGTCTGGTGGAGCTTGCGTGTTTTATCATGGACGGGAAGGCTAACGAAATGGAATTATAGAATGACCGAGTTGCCATCCTACAGCCCACCCTACATCCCAGTATGTCGCTTACGGCTATACGATAATTGTTGAGCGCACGTGTCAGTATACTAACACCACGTTAGCATCCGAAGAACTTGCGATTGGAAACGTGCGCTTCACCACCTTCGATCTAGGTGGTCACCAGCAAGGTATGCTTTGTGGCGCTGCTATGACGCGTTGATTTTGGACTGACAGGATGATTCCGTCTAGCCCGTCGGTTGTGGAAGGATTACTTCCCGGAAGTCAACGGAATTGTTTTCCTAGTCGACGCTATGGACCACGAGCGTCTGCCCGAGTCCAAGGCCGAACTCGACGCCCTTCTCTCCATGGAGGAGCTCGCCAAGGTCCCTTTCGTTATCCTCGGAAACAAGATCGACCACCCCAACGCCGTGTCCGAGGACCAGCTCCGCCACGAATTGGGCTTGTATCAGACGACTGGAAAGGGCAAGGTCCCATTGGAAGGAATCCGGCCCATTGAGGTCTTTATGTGCTCGGTGGTGATGAGACAAGGTTCGTCGCACCAAACTCTTCACTTCCGACGTAGTTCCGGGGGGTCAAAACTAACATGTAATAGGATACGGTGAGGGCATAAGATGGCTTTCCCAGTACGTCTAGACGGCAATTAAAAAGAGGGGGAGTAGCGTGTGGCGATATACGAGACGAGATCAGGGGACGAGACGAGCATGCGAACTGAAACGATGCGATGGCCGTCTGGGAAACAAACGGAGTTCTTTGACAGCATACTACCTTACTACCATACCGAAGTTCGATGTTTTCCGGGATATTTCATTGGAGTCAATGGCTAGAGGCATTTGCCAGATCGCAATAATGAATTGAGCATTACCCACTTCTCACCGCCCGAGTGCCGTCGATTCTTGGGTCTTTTTGCACATCTAACACTTATGAATGAGAAGTCTTTTACTGTCATTTTGTTTTTATATATAGCAGCGTGTTAAAAAAGAAACAAAATCGATTCAACCCGTACCATTGCACTATTTCTTGCACTGGCGATCTATCAGCTCTGGTTTTATTAGGAGCTTATCAACGTAAGCTCTAGGAGAAGTCAGAGCTCCTAACCCGGCTTTGGCGGCTTAAGTAGTATACGTATAGGTAAATCAGTGTTACCTATGTAAACCTAGATGGCGCCGAGGTCCCGATAGTCTTCCCAATACATAGTAGATTACATAGTCTGTTTAACAGTTTCCGAGTAGCCGGTGTCCAATGCGGCTCGGTGAGGCTCGTTAGTTACCCAGGCCCGCCGGGAAATTAGATGACGGTTACGCGGATAGCTCGAAGGTAAGGGGGTTTAATCAGTCTGAATAGCCTCAAAGATGTTCAATATCCACTCAACCCGTGGAAATGTCAACTTTGGTTGGCCGGAATAAGCAAATGTCGTTTTTAAATGGGCCAATTAGATTAGGGGGTTTTCAGGTTAGGTACATATACTAGGTATACCTAATGTATGCACTAGGCTACTTACGGGCACGCTTAAAATCTATTTCTTCTTATTTCTAGTATCGTCGACGGTCTCACGACATACAATAGTATGTAGTATCAGTGCAGACAGAATATGCAGAAACCGCAGGTTTATCGGGATTCTTCTAGAATAATAGGTATAATGTTGCTGCAGCGTGCAGCGGATATCTCCGTCTTCGCGCTTCCTTTCAGCTCAACAATTTCCAAAAGTATTGTACCTGAGTACCTTTTTACCTTACCTAACCTAACCTACATTTGAATGGATGCATACCTACATAAAAGCAAACGGCACTCGGACCAATAGAATTATTCCATGCGAATATAGGTATGGTAGTACAGATGGAGGTAGTAAATGTATAACGCGGGCGCGGGACGGGCTTCGACGTCATTTCGCTAAAGCTACACTACACATGTCATTCCACCCCAGATACTGCGACTGGAGACATTCGTTTTTTTCCCGTGTTTTTTGGAGGTGCCACAGGTCGTAATTCGTGAGATTACCATGCTACATACATACCTACCTACCTACCTACATATCTATTTGAAGTAGTGTATTAGTGGCTGTAAAGAGTTCCGTTAATTATTTCTAAACCGAGGCACATTCATTCATTCATTCTCTCTCTTTCTCTCTCCCTCTCCTCCTAGTGTAATTCCGCTACGATCGTCGCTGCATACATAATATACACACCCTTTTAATCATTATAATCATGTCCATTGGCATTGCACGTCAAGACGGCTAGCATGGCATGTGAATCCCCCTCCTCCTCCTCCTCCAAACCTAGGGTGACCTTCCTTACTGGTAAACGCCATCATAACTATGGCTTTCCTCCCGAAGCTTTCGATTATACGAGACTGCCCGACTTCGATCGCGAGTTTCTCCCGCCCGAACACCTCGCCGCTTTTGCCGCCGCCTTGAACGCTCCCGACCCGAATCACGCATCCGATGATACCGCGTCGCCGAAAAGCCCTACTACAAGAAGTACGGGTAGCCTGGAACTAACACGGTCCGGCTCGGTAGCATCTGCCGATACTACAGCCCCCCTTTCCGAGGGCGCCGCGACCCAGAATGGCTCCCAGGGCGGCATGTTCATCACGGCGCAGAACGACTGGGCTCCGGTGAACGAAAAAGTATCTAAACACGGTCGCAAGAAGAAGAGGAAAAAGACGATGCTAGGTCGTCGCACCGTAGACGAGACTCGGGAAGGTTACCTATACGGGCTGTTAAAATGGCCCTTCCTCTTCTTCGTGGGCATGTGGATTATAGGACTAGCCGCATCATATCTATGGACGCGGTTCTACATCTTCGTATACGAGTACTTCATCGCCTGGAGAGGGACGCGGGAAAAGCTGCGCCAGAACATGAGAGCCGCTAGCAGCTACCAGGAATGGGTCAAGGCGGCTAAAGAGCTGGATGCGTTCCTAGGAAATGAGCAGTGGAAGGAAAAAGACGAGTTCGCGTACTACGACTCTAAGACGGTCCGGCGCGTCTGGGAGCAACTACGCAGACATCGGATAGCCGCCGAGGCGCAGGAAGCAAAACTGGCGCGTGCGCCTGGGTACGAAAAGGGGGACGTGTCTGGGAAGAGCGAACATCGCAAGAATATCGAAGAGCTGAAGGCTTTGACGGAAGCCTGCGTGAAGAATAACTTTGTTGGAGTAGAGAACCCCAGGCTATACAGCCAGACATATTACGGGACTAAAAACTTGGTTCAAAATTTTGTGGATGAAGGTTTGTTGGATCCCTGAATCAGAGCTGAATCAGAGGCTATAGCTATTAAAGGGGGTAAAGCTAACAGAACCATTTCTTAGTGGAGAAGAGCACACGCTTCCTGGTCCATACCAAGCAACTATCGTTTGAAGAAAAGCGAGCAGTATTTAAACGAATGCACGCAAACTACGGACGCACCGCATTATGTCTATCCGGCGGCGCCTCTTTCGCGTACTACCACTTCGGCGTTGTCAAAGCGCTGCTCGACGCAGACTTGCTACCAGACGTCATCACGGGCACGAGCGGCGGCGCTCTAGTAGCATCCCTCGTAGCGACGCGGACTAACGACGAGTTGAAACAACTATTGGTGCCCGCGCTGTCGTATAAGATCAAAGCTTGCTCCGAGCCCATCAGCACCTGGTTCCCGCGATGGTGGAAGACGGGCGCGCGATTCGATTCTGTCGAGTGGGCGCGCCAGAGTAGCTGGTGGTCCCGCGGGTCGACGACGTTTAGGGAGGCGTACCAGCGCACGGGAAGGATACTCAATGTTAGCTGCATTCCGGCCGATCCGCACTCGCCGACCATCCTCTGCAACTACCTCACGTCGCCCGACTGCGTCATCTGGTCTGCCGTATTGGCATCTGCCGCCGTTCCCGGGATCCAGAATCCCGTAGTCCTCATGATGAAGACCCCAGATGGGTCGCTTGTTCCGTATTCGTTTGGCCACAAGTGGAAAGACGGCAGTCTGCGAACGGATATACCTATCAAGGCGCTCAACCTGCACTTCAACGTCAATTTCACCATCGTCAGCCAGGTCAACCCGCACATATCCCTATTCTTCTTCTCGTCCAGAGGCACGGTCGGGTCCCCCGTAACCCACCGCAAGGGCCGCGGCTGGCGTGGCGGATACCTAGGCTCCGCATTGGAACAGTACGTAAAACTAGACCTAGCAAAATGGCTCAAGGTCCTTAAACACTTGGAGCTCCTCCCGCGCCCCCTCGGCCAGGATTGGTCGCATATCTGGCTGCAACAATTCAGCGGCACCATTACGCTCTGGCCGCGAACGCAAGCCAGCGACTTCCTGCACATACTCTCGGACCCCGACCCGGACCGCCTGGCGCGCATGCTGCACGAGGGCCAGCAGAGCGCGTTCCCGAAGCTCAAGTTCATCGAGAACAGGTTAAAAGTCGAACGGCAGATCGAGCGGGGCAGACGGGAGACGTTGCCGGGGGTGAGGAGAGACAGCATCGAGAGTATCATCGACGAGGAGGATTTGAGGGGTTTGCTGAGAGGGACCGGCGGCGGGACTACGGATGATGAGACGACGGAGGGGACGGAGGACGTAGATGAGGAGGCTGTTGAAGACGCTGTTGAAGACGGGGACGACGATGCGGCGGTTATATCTGAAAATGGGAGGAATGGGTTGAAGACGGATTAGAACGTGCCGTGGACTGGTTTTGTGTGTTTTCTTTCTTCTAATTTGTTTCTCTCGGTCAAGCGTGAGGTTGCATAGGTTAGGTAGTGTAGGGCATGTATACATAGGTTAGGTAGGTAGGAGTTGGTCGATGATTCCCCGTGCCTAGGTTAGGTAGGTAGGTAGGTAGGTTGAGAGAAGTAGACGGGAGAGAGGGAGTGGCTAGGTACCTAGGTAATTAGCATTAGTTAGATTTAGCTGGGGTTCTCTACATATCGGATCTAGGTTAAAGACTCGAAATCATGGGAAATATCGGGAGTTCAAATATAAGGAGTTCTCTCTGTAATTAGAAATTATCCTGGTAAAAGGTAGCTTAGGTAGGCTCTCCTCACCCACCCACCCTTCGTGTGATAACCTTTCGCCCACCTTGATGTTAGATCAGATCCAACGTTAGTTACCTACCTACCTACCTACCTACCTACCTACCTAGGTACCTACCTATGTAGCACCTATGTCTTAGAGTCGAGGCAAAATATCGGTGGGATTTGATTACGGCATAAAGAATAAAAAGGCGTCGGATTGCCATCGGCTCGGAATAGCGGCAATTGTGGTCAGATTATGCGGCCCGGAAATTAGAACGGTTAGAACGGGTTCTGATAGAGGAGTCATTTACATACAAAGAGGGCTTGAAGCCACCGCGGCCCGTCCCGTTACGCCTTATGCAACAGGATACTTACAGTATAAGCCAACAGTGAAACGCTACGACTATAAGAAGGGACTTCGTTCCGTGGAAAGACCGTGCCGTGTGCCGTCTAAGCAAGCCAATGACCACGACATAGTGGATGATGATGTATTCAAGTGCTCATATGAGCAGGTTATCAGTACGGCGGGACAGTGACGATGAAGATTAGCTAGCTAGCCATTGTGCTTGGTTTCGTGTGGGGGGTAGAGGTTGCTGTCGTCATTGACTACGTCCTAATACTCAGAATTCTAGGCCATGAAGAGGGCCCGTGCTAGACATTCTTGTCCTGCATCAAACCATACTCTGTATGTGCCCAGCCGCGGATAACCAGCCGCCCGTAAGTCTATTCTGCGAGAGTCGCCCCAGTTCTGGGAAATAGATTTGCGGCGCCTTGATTCGACGGGTACTTGCGATGTTAGCTCGCGATGAGGAAAAAAAAAGAAAAGGGGGCATGGCAAAAATTGAGGGACGACCCTTGCTACCAGGCGTCAGTCCCCGGTTTCAACTCTTAGAGGAACACCACGTCTGCTCGTGTAGCTTTGCTCTACACGTACGCGCGTAGTCCTACTCGGCTCTTCTCTTGTCCCCAGTTTGTTTGGGAGTACCAGTTTATAGGTATAAATGCCTGCCCACGGATGGTAAACGAAGTATACTTCAACCGTTCTAAGTCTATCCCGCCCCTAGATATTTGCCCCCTGCCGGGTCTATTTTCGTCCAGATTACGTGGTTTTCTATAGACCTCCTAGGTAAGTACGGCAAGCTTATTAGGCCGGGCATATGATTGACTTACCGGTAAGCAGCTACCGCCTATCTAGTAGATAGTCGGCGGATTGACAAGTGAGATTGGCTGTGCTACAATATGGCGCTCACCAAGAAAGAAAACGAAACGAACGGGGCCGCTGCGAAAGCCAAATACGACCCGGAGTTCACAGACAATGTCATTGCCGCTACGGGTTCGAAGGCCCATCCTCGTCTGAAGGAGATCATGCCAAGCCTGCTACGGCACCTACATGACTTTGCTCGGGACGTAGACTTGACAATCGCGGAGTTGATGGCTGGCATTGAACTAGTAAGTCAACTTGACGCCGGCTAGAAATCCAAGAGACTGCTGACATATCATCATAGATAAACGAGGCAGGCCGCATGTCTACCGACAAGCGTAACGAGACAGGCTTGCTATGCGATATCCTCGGCCTAGAATCTCTCGTAGACGAAATCACATCTAAATTACTCTTCGAAAGTCGTGAATCTGGAGCGATTACGCCTTCGACCGTCCTCGGGCCTTTCTACCGGAAAGACGCGCCGCTTTTGCCCAACGGCAGCAGCATCATATACACAGCGCCAGACACATTCTGGTATCTGCAAGCCGAGAGGTGGCTAACCCACCTGTCGGGGCGAGTGCTAAGCGCGTCGACGGGGAAACCAGCGCCAGGTGCCGTCGTAGACATCTGGCAGGCGGGCCCAAACGGGCTATACGAGCAGCAGGACCCGGCGCAGCCAGACATGAATCTACGAGGACGCTTCCAGACAGACGAGCTAGGCCGGTATGCGCTATATTGCGTACGTCCGGCCGCGTACAAGGTCGCACCGGACGGGCCCGCCGGTCGCCTGCTTGAGCTGCTAGACCGTCATCCGTACCGGCCTGCACATATACACTTCGTGATAACGGCGCCGGGGTTCCGGACCTTGACCACGCAAATATTCGACCGCGAGGACATGTATATTAAAGACGATACGGTCTTCGCTGTTAAGAATGAATTGCTGGTGAGTTTTGAGCCGTGCGAGGGAGACGAGAAGGCCCGCTGGACGGTGAAGTATGATTTTGTACTGAGCGAGGCGTGAGATATAGATGGACTATTTGTGTTTGTGTTTGTATAGTCCCTTGCTATTTCGAGGGTTTTATTTCGGGTCAGTAGGCATGTTTTAACGGGAAGATTAGTATGTCTATCAGAAGAAACAGATGGCTAGGGAGTATTAGTTAGTTTGCCTTTACCCTAAAGATATGACGTCTACCCTCAAAAGGGATAGCTATCGCTCTTTAGCTAGGTGTAGCTCATAAAATGATATGTGCCAAGAGGTTCTCTCACGATGTAGTGAGGATAAGGGAGGTTAGTGAGGTTAGATGGACTAGCTGTTTGGTGTATGCTGATTATAATAATCTTTACGTCACGCATCAATCCGGGCTCTTCAGATACGAATACCTACCTGGGTTAGGTAGGTATACCTTTCTCAATATTGTATAGGTGAGAGGCGATGATAGAATCCAGGCTCATAGTGCTTTAATATGCATAAATATAAATCACTAAAAGGACCAAATGAGAAGCAAGAAAGATAGCCTCAAACTATACTATGAACTGGACGAATAGGGTGTAAATATACACACCTAAGGTGCAGATCATAAGATTGAACGAAAGATGAAAAGAATAGATAGTTGAGCCTTAAAGTTGATTAATGATAGGTATGATACAGGTACGTACCGAAAAAAAGGCAGATGACAGGGTTTAAAACGTGGCGTAACTTTGTTTGCGGCCACAGCTTCTCTCCAGCAGGGCTGCAGCTGTAACGGCTCTTGCCCTGAAAAGTCCAGGGCAAGCTGGCAGCTACCCCGAGCGCTCCGCCGAGAAGATGCAATTGTGGCCTTGCCTTGCTTTTTTAGAACACTGAAAGGACCTAAGAGACACCACCCTTTCGTCATCAAAGCCAACGACAACAAATTACACCTACATACCTTTTACATAGGCACATCCCTACACACCTAAAAACTTACAACCTAATTCTTCTTATTCATAATGTCCATTTAAACATGTCGCCTAGCCCGCCAAGGTAACCAGGTGTCTATTTACTTCTACCAAGTCAATCAAACTTCGCTACGACAATGGCGAAGCATATCCCTACCGCGAAGATCACCCTCAGCTATCCTCTCTATTCATGCGACTTCGACCCAACAGATCCTAACCGGCTCGTCGTCGCAGGAGGTGGCGGCCCAGGACGAAATGGTGTGGGGAATAAAATAGTAAGGAATCACACAACTACCATTACAACTACCATTATACCCTAGCTTTTTGTATTTTGTATTTCAATGGGTTAACCAGGGGATATGTTAGACCGTTCTCGACACCTCTAACCCGGAAGAGCTATCGGAAGTCGCCGAACTCGAACTTAGCAAAACCGAAGACAACGTCACGACACTCGCCATCGGTCCTCGAAAAGATAGTTCCTTGACCGTATTTGCCGGAGTCAATTCAAGCCCGGAAGAGATTAAGAAGGGGAAGAATGACCATTTTCGTATTTTCGGTATCGACCAACCCGCTAAATCGGCCAAGACTAGCGGTGTAAGGGTTTCCATTTCCGAGGTCGCGCGCCATGCGCTATTCGTGCATAAGGATACAAGCGCCTACCAAAGACTCCTCCGACTGTCCCACCCGTACGAAAACCTCCCACAATTAGGTGCCGCCGCCACAGGACTGTCCAAGCAACCCGAGATTGCGCTTTTCGATGTACCATGTGAAGGAGGCGGGAGGTGGAAACCGAGGGGTAGGCTGGATATCCCTAAAGAAGCAATGGACCTAGACGTTGTCCAGACGGGGCCCGATACGTACCAATTGGCATATTGCGACGATCACGAAATCTTTACCGTCGAAGTATCCAAGGAGGAAGTATCGGAGCCCAAATGCGTATATACTATTACCCCAGATGAAGGTGCCACAGCTAAAGCGTCGTTCAAATCTTTGCGCTACCTGACACCTAGCTTCCTGATCACAGTAGTCAATAAGCCCAACTCCCAGGGAGTTGCGCTACATGGTTACCGCCTGCCTGCGAAAGAGCGAGACAACGCTCGTCTAACGATCAAAGCCAGGCTCCCAAAGGGTATCTCTAAGGCAACAGGCCTTGCAGTGAGGAATCTATCGCCAAATTCGTCCCCGGCGGATGAGACGGGCGAGACCCAATTCGTAGTCGCGGTTGCGGGGAACGATGCTTCAATATCGCTCTTCACATTAGAACATAAATCCGCTGCTAGGGTAGACCTCCTCGCCGACCTGGCGCCGTTCCAAGTGCTTAAAGGTGTTCATCCTTCAAATATAACCGGGCTCTCGTTTTCTCCATTTTTGCCGCCAAAATCTGCGTCAAAAGAGACCGCCGAACTTACCGTCAAGCTGGCTAGCGTCGGTGTTGGTTTCACGACAGTAGTGCACAGCATACCGCTTAAAAAACATGTTGATAAGTCTATCGCGAAAGAAAGTGGAGGGCCTTCGAGCCATGAGCGCTACGTAGTTGCGCTGAAGTCTCAGGGCCAATCACCGGTCACACCTATCACACTTTTTACAATTGTGATACTCCTCCTCGCTATAGTCGGGCAGGTCTTTCTCGAGGCTAAAGATATCGGCAATCCTGTCCTCGGGATCAAGCCTTATCTGCCTACGTCGTGGACGCAGCCCTTGCGCAAAGTGTCCGCGACCAACGAAAAGTCGATCAAGGATCTACTATCGGACGCTAACGCACATCATACCCAGCCGCTCGTGATTCGACACGACGAAACCGGGGAAGCGGACCCTCGGGGTCTGCCCCCTCTGCACGTTGGGATCCACGACGAAGAGGTCCACGGCCCCGCCACATCGTGGGAAAACCTAAGCCCCGACGAACAGCAGCTCTGGAAGAATCGCCTAAAGAAGACGGGCCATTGGTTCGAGGATATGGGCGAGTCCATCTTCAAGGGCGTGCTTTTCGGCGAGATAGGCGGGGCTATCGGAAATATAGTCGGAGAGGCGCTATAGCTGTTCCTCTAATGCGTTACGCTATACTACATCTATACGTGGGAAATGAAATGAGGGAAGAAGGCCATGTCATGTTATGTCATGTCATGAATCTTCTTCGAGATGATTATTATGCTACGAAGAATGCAGGATGTATAATGTGATCTGTATAAAAGTCCATTATTTAGGAAATATAAATAATTATGTTCACCTCTTATGTGCAACAGGAATGCGTAATAACCCCGACGGTCTGGTTTATTATATAAGAGAAATAAGAAATAAACTGGCACGCCTTAATGCCGCTGTGTCGTACGGATGAGACTAATGCAACGTGGATGTCTCGTCACAGTTGCTCTTGATCTTAGGAAAGAGTGGATAACTGGGTCTTGTCGATGTTTACTTCCCATATATGTCAGGAGTCATATTGCACAGAGTGAAAACCGGGAGTCTAGCTGGTGGTATAGTCGTGTATTAGTTACTGTATTAGCCTATCCCGCATCTAAGAATAGGGGGGAGGTATGTATATGTACCCTTTTTATACAGACCTGGTATCTGGCGGCTGCCATACGGGGTACCTAGCCCTATTTTACCCTGGCCATATATACATTAGTGAACCTTCTGACCAGCTTTCAATTGCTTCTATAATAGAATCCACCAAGGCACCAAGGTATGTATGTTTGAATACGGACGTGATAATGCATTATAGGTAAGTTGGGGAATGAATATATTGCTCATCGAACTCTTGATCCCGTGATAACTCTAGCGACTGCACTACTTAGCCAAAGGATAAACTTAACTACCTACCTAAGGTAAGGTACATATTTAGGTATATATAGAATGATCGATCTTGAAATTTAGGTAAGCCTTGGATTAAATATATACAGTCAAGTATATATAGGTTCCATACAAGGCGCCTAATATATAGTATAATAAATACACTCGATAAACTAAAGGGGATATCACAGCGCTAGTACACGATCCTCGCAGGTCCGCCCCGCTCTATGTAGGTAGATATAACACGACAAATCTTCTCTTAACTACAAGCTTTTCGATTCTCATCTTATCTTCCACCCAGAGAGAGAATTAAGACCTGCCTACTTACCCCCCTCTTCGTTCCGCCGCCCCTGACGTCTCGCCGGTATCCGCAGTTAAGTTGACGCCGCCCCAGTCCACGCTGACGTTTTCGCTCGTGAGGAACCAGGGCACGTTGTCGTCGTTGTCGGAGGGGAAACAACATAAGTCGGGTGGTACGTCCGTGGGGGTCTGGTGGTGGGTATACGCGTCCATGAAGATGCCTGGGAGATTCCAGCGGTCGACTGTGGACGGCGGGCGGTTGCTGCTGCTTTGTGGTGGTGTTGTCGCGTGGGAGGTTACGTTGTTAATGCGGGGCGAGCCCGTGCGGTGCGGTAGATCTAATCCCTGCCCCCCTGGGAAAGCCACGCCGTAGCCCGTAGTGGAGAGGGCGGGATGCGACGGCGTGCCGGCGGACATAGGGTCTTCGGGAGAGGGGTGTGTTGAGGGATTGGATGATACCCGGTCTGGGATGTTTGCAGCCCAAGGCGAATCGTGGTTCTCGGAATAGCTATCTAGAGTGCTGGCACCGCACGATTGAGCAGTCCGTTTTCGTTTACTGCGTCTTGTGAGGTAATCAGAAGACCGAGCTTCGATCGAAGATAATTCGACGTCGTCCGTGACCCAAGTCCCGTGCTCGCAGTCCATAGACTCCTCGACGATAACTTTTCCCATGGGCTTCCCGAGCGGTAGACGGCCGGGCAGTGGTGGCTGAACTCGAGAATGGCGTGATATCTTGGACCGGGCGAGCAATGGTATATTGTGTGTGATTTGAGTCCTGTAATCGGGCCCCAGGTTATCGAGACGTGACAGTCGCACGATATTTCCAAGTCCATTTCTCTCTATATCAACTACTACTTGGCGAAGGAAAGCCCGGGTGATGGAGTGGTTTTTCCCAAAAGCCTGCATAGCTGCGATGACAAAGTCGAGGTTTTCCATATTGGTGGGCGTCTGTGTTTCTTTGCACAGATAGACATAGACTGAGGCTGCGCAATATAGTGATAACGCAGCTAACGGACTCTTCTATCGTAGTATTAGCAATAGTTGGGTTGGGCCATCGATTTGATGCGTTATTTACCGGTCCTGAGTTTACATGGCTAGTCAACTTCATGATGTTGACAATTTCCTGCGCAGCTGTACTCAGACGATCGTGGCAGATCTTCTTAGCACTCTCTGGTAATTTGTAAGTATCTATCGTCTCGATGGCGGCGTGGTGTAAGCAGATAATCGACGCATGCAAGTTAAGATTTGTGTGTACAGCGACCGGGTCGCGATAGTTATCTGGTAGTCGGAAAGACCCTGGGAGATACATAAACGCGCTTGAGAGTGTATTGTCAAGCTCACGATGGCGCTGCCAATATTCGCCATACTCATAGTTATCAGGATTATCTGTAGGCTTCGGTCTGTGGACGTGCTTGAGGATTTGGTTGAATCTTGATATTACTATTAGCAGACCATAGATACTCGAGGTGATGTAACTGACATGTGACAAACTAAAATGGCTCCTGCAAAGGAAGAATACGTCCGCCCCTTAAGCGCATTTTGAATATTACATGTTTCTACTTCTTCGCCGCTTAAGAATGCAGATTCCGGCTATAAAGCTTCCAGTTAGTAAGATAATATATGAATAGATAGAACAGGGGCGGCAGGGGTTCAAAGTTTTTGAGAAGTTCTATTGTACGCAGGACTCTACGAGGATGGCGTATTGACTCACAGCAGGGAGTAAAGTTGTAATCTAGGATGCACATTAGTTATAATTCTAGCTTGATTGATTATTTCTTTCTCTTACATCAGAGGAATCAATAAGAACTGGCCAGCCAGTTGAAATGGAACAATGGCTATCGATGCAAAATATTCCCCAAAAAACTCGTCGTCGTTCTTCTAGCTCGATCCAGTCTCTTGGGGGTAGCAGGGTTGGACATATCTCTTCCGCACTACCGTCGAGTCGATGAAGGCCCATCATTTGGACGAGACGAACCCCTCTAGAACCGCTCATGGCTGCTCGGGTAAAAAGCATACGCTTGGCCTCGTATGTAGCTATCACGCACCACGCCTGCGCATGGGCAATTGTAATAAAATGTTCACCGTGACCCTTCCTGCAATAAGTACGAGTATAGAGATTGTGTATAAGATATAGTGGCTTACTTTTAACTCATCCAACTCGGCATACTGTCGAGCACGCCGATAGAACACATCATGGTATGCTCCATACTTGGGATTACCATGTGAAGCAAGTGCCCACACTGCGTATTGTAGACACATAGGCGGCTTCATGTGCGGCGCAGAATAGAAAGATTGTAGATAGCGCGAGGGATGGATTATCGGAATTATATGCCCCTGACGCAGAAAGAAAATCCGATTCCTATTATCATGAGCGACTAGAAATTGGTTTCCCCAGGTAAGAATAACTCACAAGTCTTCCATCATCTCAAAAGGGGGTAAACTTTCGAATATCCCACCGAGGTCCATAAGGTCGCCTATAAAAGGGGTGCTGTCTTGGCCTTGGCTATCTAAGTTACCGGTCGAAAACGTAGCCGCAGGGTCCTGTTGAAATGAAAACGTAGTGCCATCGTCCAAGGAGGGGATGGGATTCGTAAAATCAAACCCCTGAAAGAGAACATCCTCGGCCCCTGGCAAATCAATGGACGAGTTAACCGGTTGCGTAGTGCCATCACGCTGCGACCGATGCTGGTTTGTTTCCTTTAGAAGCACTTCAACTTGAGCTATATATACAAATCATATTAGTCTAAAAGTCTCGTGTCTCTAAAGGGCATCGGGGCATAATTACCCAAGCGAGCCTCGAGTTCTTTTACGTTCCTCCGCTTGAAGGCCGGTTTTCTTCGAGCTTCAGGGAAGATGCATTCAAGCTTAGCTTTCTCACAGCGATTGCATCGAGGTTTTGTGCGATCGCATTTGAGTTTTCGGTTTCTACATGACAATGATATGAGTTACAGGGCTGAAATGTGGCGGCTATCAACCAACAGTACCTGCATGACACGCATGACTTAACTTATAGTATTAGCACATCTAACGCCTTCGAACAGGGGGTGAGAGAATGATAATCACCAAAACTTCTCCCGACTGAGCCGTCTCAACCGAAGATTCATCCCCGGCCATCATATCGATGCGATTAACTCATTAAAAATAAAAATTAAATTTTAGCTTTTTTCGCATTTAATTCCTGTGTACATACCAAAGATATGTACGTCGCTACTAAACGTGATGTATTAATGTAAGGTTGAACGACCAGGCATCCGAATAAGCATCTGAATAGGCATCCACCTAAAAAAAGGAGGCAATGTGCCAAGGCGTCCGTGCTCTTTTGTCAGACCCGAAAGACGGTCCGGATGTCTAAGTTTCTCCGAAATCCGATGAGCTTTAACCCCGATAAGCTCCGTGTCTTCATGCTGCGCAAGAACGGAATTAAACAACCAGAACAACCTCATTTAAGCTTACATAAGACTTATCTTCCGTAATATTTTATTTAGTACTTCCGTACTCATTTGCTATCTTACTCAATTACCTCGCTAACCTACATGTTTCTTCATTCTCAACTAAATCGCATCTTGATTCGAGATATTGGACTTTGAAGCACTTGTATTATTATATATCTTTAAATGCATATATGTGTTTTATTGCATGAGAACTATTATCGCTAAATTCCTTCTTTTACTCGATATCCGTTTGTATGTATGTATACGAAAACGAAGACGCTACCGGCGAGACCGAAGCAAGGATACCATATATTATATTATCAGGACTCCTTTTTCCTTACATCTTTGCTTTTTACCTTCTCCCCTAATATAGTTAGCTTGGGGTCCGGCCAGCAGCTTGACTTACCCAGCTTGACTTACCCAGCTTGACCGCTACCGTTTTCTCAAGTCAAGTCCTATTCTATAAGGATACCTAACAGCTACCCGAAAACACCTTATTAAAGGAGTAAGCGTTCCTAGCACATAGCCACTTGCTGGCATGCGTACGATTCCTGAAACACAAATCAGCAAGCATAGTAATACTAGCAGTGTAAACGACCTGTCACATAGCTACGTGTCCATGGATCCATGGATCATAGCACGATATCCACACGTTCTATATTGTACCTACCCGGAACAAATTCAGAGCCCAAGTCGCCACAGAGGACGCATGCTCATGTACGTATCCTGCAGGTTAATACGTAAGTACGCCCGTCTGTTACTCAGTTTTGCAATACTGTGATGTAATAAGGAGACGCTGTGGAGTACTCGGCGTCAAAGGTAAATACTCGGTACTACTATGTAACTAGGACCAGGACGCCTAAGCAACTCAGGGATTCGTGTATTATTGTAGTCCCTGTGGATCCCAAAGGCGTCTAAATTGTCAAGTGCGCACGACAGCTGAAGCTGATTTGGCACACATGCATGCAGATAGCCCGTACAGTGCTAAAGTATGTCGGCTAATACAGACTATAAGTTCCTAGTTGCCGGCAGACGGCGGTTCCGTTGCTAGCAGGAATGGATATAGCTCCACCGGCGGAGTGACAAGTGCAGATCCTTTTAGATCAAGTCGGCATTCGTTGCGAACTTTAGAGTAAACAAGAAGAGGAGCCGGCGTCTGGGCCGAAACAAGCTATGCCAAGAGTGAGGCGACCCTCGCCTTAGCTCACGATAAGCACTTAACTTCATCACCATCGTAGGTGCAGCCTCAAGTCTAAAATGGCTCCGGAGGCCTAGGCGCGCGGTAGGAGCCCTGAAGGCCTCGGCATAAAAGCGCAAACTAATGTAGGATAAAGACTAGGACGCCTTAGAGTTCATTCTGACAACCTATTATTTGTTCCGGGGTACGTCCCATCCTATATTGCCGGCCGCCCCCGAGTCATGATATTGAATTTTTGGTGAAACTCGTACCGTATTTGGCGCCCCGTTTCTTGACGGGACGGCCTCTGTCCCAAGTAATCGGGTCGTTCTTTAACCTAGGATAAATACGCTAGCAACGTTAGGACTCGAAAAGTCTATATGGAGACAAGGGTAGAAGCCGAGGGAGGTATGTAGAGACGAACGTTAAACGGATATTTAGTGGTTAAGTTGGTAACGTCGGTCGACAACTCTCTCGTAACCGGGTAATTTAGTCCCTACTTAAACAAAATTAAGCTTATCAGGGTGCTCTCATACCGATTCCTATAGCACGATGCCAAGGAGACGAAAGAAAGCTCGGTAGATATACCACACCATTTTCTGAAATATATAATCGGCGAGGGCTACCTATGAACTACTTCACTCTTGGGATATAAAATACTGAGTGCCTAAATATAATGAATATAACAAATGCCGTGATGCAGTAGTGTGTGTAAGGATATAGAAAGAAGAAGAAATGGCACCCTTAACAATGCATCCAGGATTCTAGCAACCCCCACGTGTACTTGCTGTATGGCCGGAGGTTAATATATTACGGGTGTGGTAATGATAACAGAAACCAAAGAGGACAAAACAGCCTAAGAGATAGGTACATTCATGTAAGCCTTGCCGCGATGTACATATGAGAAGCACGCCATATTGCAGCAATCGTTTGTTACCAGTGAGTGGTAGGATTGGATGTCATTGAGTTTATAAAGCACGGCAACCCATGAGTTGACAAGCATGCTTGATAAGACTTAGACGGGTTGAACCCCTAGAAACACCACAAACTTTCCTGCTAGTCGGTACATTTAGGTAACCGAGCTAAAGCTACATATGTTAGATCGGTTTCTTGCCCGTCCCATGTTATGTAGGGTACAATATAGATCAGTTCAAGCTAACAATTCAAGCGTTTGCCCACCCTGCTCGTCCAAAAAGCGACGTGGGCAAATTTGTCAAAAATGACTACCTGGTAGGTATCGATCCCCTTTGTTGAAACCTTACATGTAGTTACCCCATTGCTGCGAATATAAGCAGTAGCTAAGCAGTGAGGGGACCCAATGGCATCTCTGATATATGGCACCTGCATTGTACATTGTTGGGAAAGGAGTACTCGATATTGTAACCAGGACCAAGCGAATGCTGTCAGGGGGTACGGCGACAAGACATTATAACCGTTACATATAACCGTCTTTTCTCCAGCGCGGCTCAAGTGAGATGTTTCAGATGTCATCATCAATATCTAAGACCCATCGGAAAGCTTCAAGACATTACTAAAAAGAGGGGATTCCTTGCCTCCCCCCGCCCCTCCCAAGAGTTGAAGAGACATTGACTTTTTTTTTTGTCCGAAGAGAGCGCCATTATGTCTCAAGTTCGAGCGGACCGGCCGGAGATCCGTGCTACAGCTATCTAATACATGCGGTAGGCAAAGTTGGGGAACAAATAGTTCGTAAAGAAAAACAAAATACTTCGTCCGAGCTGTGGGCGAGATATGTCAGATAACCTCCTGGCGTAACTTTCTATGTTACTGTGTAGGTATGTATGTCTACTTATCGACGTAAACAATGGGCAAAAAACGAGAGAGGGGTGACACTATCCCAGACTAAGACACTTGAGATGTCATACTAACGTACACTAGTTTTGCCCACCCCATGATAATTGACTAGATAGGTGCCACTACGTAGACGGCAACCTCCGTAGTTGATGACTGAGCAATGAGCATGGAGACCGTAGACGGGGCTCACGGCAATATTGGAAAACGGAGCTGGCCAGAAGCTCTATGATGGGGGATGGATGGATCCATGCCTGAGTAGTATGAAGAATGGCATCTGTCACATTCGTCTAGAATAGATTAGATCCCGTCACTCTATCTCGTCAAACGGGTATTTGCTCTGTCTCCAGCTCAGGGCCGGGCAATCCTCTGGCTACCAACCCAGTGGTACTTTGGCCACTGCATGAGTTGGACCGGCAAGGTGAACAAAATAGATAGGTACGGTACCTAAGGTAGATAGCACGACGTCTGCTTATAGCAGGATAGCAGGGAGAAGTGAGCCCATTTTTCGGGTTCACAGCCTTTTCTGGACTGAGTAAAGCAGCCCGAACGTACGTCAGCTGTTCTGCAACGTCTGTCGTCATCCGAATCCATTATGGAAATATGCCTGCCCGCTAAGTGATAATCTGGGTTAACTGATGAAACTGTGCGATGCGGCGAGATTAGGTGGCCGTCACGATGAGTTTGGTAGCCAACGGATTTCGAGAAAAGCATCCTCCCACGCCCACGGGCATCTGCATTTAATCTATCGATCGGAAGGGCGGTATGCAAGAACAATATATTTTCTTTTCTGAAAGGCCAATGCGGGAGCTCCTGCATCCATCTTGGTTACGAAAGTAGATCTCCTATAACACTCGGAACGGGCCCCGGCTTATGGGCTGGATCCATGGCTTTTTTTTTTTTTTTCACCTTGCTTTCTCGGTTCGGAAACGATCCGTAAAAACTAAGATAGAGATGCATGCTTTGGCCCGGTAAACGATATTAAGAATTTGACGTATTTTCTATCATCCGGATAGTGCACTTTCGACTTAAGGCTAAATTTACACGTACGGCCCTATACTTCCACGTATCCCTCGCTTCGATGATTAGAAATTCCTAATCAATCCACGGTAATATACAGCTTTCCCCTTTATTTTGTAGTATTCGAAACCGTCATTTCTCTTAATCTAATGCCCCCCAAGAACGCCTAGTTATTGTTTTCCATTCCCGTATCGTAAGCCATGCCCATTATTCGAATTGCCTAGGTAGATAAGAGGTAACTACACAAAAAATGCCGCTGAGATGATATGTTGTCGTAGACCGGCTAGCGGGAGCCAAACGCCCGCGAGGTCAAGGCCGGCCGAGAGAGATTAGAGAATAGATAGAGTATTGGTAGACTCTTATGATGAGCTCTTGCGCGGCGTAAATCCCTAAACCTCGTAAAGATAGTAATAATACAATGAATATGGCCTCTCGTAAGGAAGCACGGGCATCTCATATGCTACCGCGTTTGCTGCCATTGACTCTGCGTCGCTTAATGCACTCAATTTCGACGTCACGAGTCGCACCAGCCTCTTCATCGCTTAGGAGTCTGCCGTCCGTATCGTAGTCGGCCCTTTCGGTCGAAGGTATCAAGTTATTTTCTGCGCCGCGTACAGTCATGGCGTCGGCCTCGGCACGGGCGTTGTTGATCATACTAGGTAGTTGGCGTCGTCTCGCGTTGATAAACCAGTTCGATATTTGATCTGTTAAGAGCGCCTAGTTAATATAAAGTCCAGTCTAGTAACTCTGATCTCCGTCTCATTGCGAGGCAAACCTAATTCGTTCGCCCTAATCTCAGGAATGGTGATTTAACGTTTTGGCTGAACTTACTTAATTGCAAACCGGTCTGTTTCATAAGTTGTTGTTTTTCTTCCTCTGTTGGGTACGGATGCGATAGGTGGGAGTGAAACCAGGCGCGGAGTTTATCTGTTGTCTCTTTTGGTAGATTTCCACGACGCTTTCGCTGCTTGCTTTCGTAGTTTCCTCCAACGCCGAGCTCGCGGACGGGCATGTAGCTATCATGTGGTTGATGGCCGTACGTGGCAGGCGCTGGAGAATATATCGACGGCCTGTCAAAGAGATGGGCCGACCCCACAGAAAGGGATTGCACTCGGTTGGGATGATGGTAACCGTGGAAGTAATTAGTAGGTCGGTATGAAGCTGGCCTTATCTCCAAACCGTACGTGTTAGTGTTGATGTCTTCTGGAGTTCTCGTTCTCCTATGAGTTTCTCGAATATAGTCGTCGCTCGGCAAGCCTGGGAACGAATCGTTTCTATCTCGAGCAAGATTTAACGTGGATAATTTCGATAGAGTCGTTTGATGCTCTACTTGTTCATAGTGTCCTGATTTTGTTGGATACTGTAGGCTAGTGCTATCGCCAGTTGGATAACAAGTTCGGGTTGACTTGCCCCATGCTCCCATATCCGTCCTAGAATCAAAGGGTGGTGATACCGATCGGTGAGAGCTCCCATTTAAATTGGTTAATAGCCTAGGAACCGAGTTTGTTTTCCCGGCGTCCCTCACACTCTCGAAGTGTCTCTTGTGATAGACTGGCGAATGTATATATTCCGGGGGCGTTATTGCCCCATTGAAAGACTTTCTAGAAGGGCTAGTTGCGGGATATGGTGTCGTCACCACGACGTTTTGTTTTAATTGCTGTTCAAAATCGGGGAAAGCCTAGTAGTTGGTTAGCAGTAATTTATAATTAGGCGTGGTAGATTCTACCTGACGGATAGACGGTAGGGAAACTTTCCCCTCTGTCCCGTGAAACGGCTCAGAACGACCATTCATCCAAGGAAAGTCCTGAGAACTGTAGGGCGGATGCATCGTCATAGTAGACATATCGTCAATGAGCAGCTATATATACACACTACTATTGTTGTCAGCTCGACAAGAATCGTAACCAAGTCGCGGGACCTCTCTTACTTGCTCTCTTCCTTGCTTCGTGGAACGATTTGTCTATCCCGACCCAGACACGTAACGTCTGATCGGGTAGGATTACGAAGACACAACAAGGCTTAACAATATTCAAATAAGACCCTATCGTGAAAGAAGGGTTATTTACTTCGACGAGGTAAAAAGTTAATAATAAATCATAGATTCCGATTGGTAAGGTGGCGGTGGATGGGGTTGGTAGATAGCCGAAGAAAACTTATGTAGGGAACGTCTATGAACCTGGTCTGGAAGGTTAGATGAAAATAAGAAAAACATATTGCTAGTAAGGAGGCGATAGTCTTCTCTATGTACGTTGAAGGTGCGAGGTTCTTTGAAGGTGTGGAGAGGTCTGGGGGGGTATGTATCGATGAACTGACTAGACTGTAACAAGCCCAGCATGCGAGGCATGGACAAGGATGACATACGTAGGTAGATGCTAAGACAACGTCCAAGGGTAGTGTATGAAGAACAAGACCATAGCCGCAGACTAGCCTGTACCCACCTCTCCGCAGACGGTTACTGATACTGTGGCGCTCTGCGGGCAGTGGACTGAAGATTGACAAGCTAGCCTTTGGGGTGGTACGTTTCCCAAGAACTACATGGAGGTATGATATGTGTGGCATGTAAGTGGCATATAGGGTTACTGGGTCACCAGAAGAGCACATGGCTTAAAGGGTCTGGCTAGTCAGACTGCCTACGCAGTAGGTTGACGACAGGCTTGGCTTGATAGGTAGCGATGGAGTACTAAAACACTGGATGTAGGGGAACAAGTGACACAATCACAGTAGGGAAGGGTCAGCGTTGGTAGTAGTATTGATGTACTTACATGCAGGACAGGGGTCAGACCCCGGACCGTGACGGTTATTGCTTTGGTGCCAGATGAAATTGCCCGATGAAAAGGAAGATGGCTACCGGGGTTGACTTTAGACACGTACCATTGCATACATGCGATGCATTTGGAAGACCGGATCGAATTATTCCTTCCTTGTAAGCCTTGTAAGATGGATCTAAGTTTTTATCAATAAGTTTTTATTAAAAGGGGGACGGTTGCCCATCCAAATCAGAAAGATACGGGGAAAGGTACGTGGAAACCCAGCACGTGCCCACCCTCAAGCATAATCGAATATCTACCCGGTCGAAGTATTTGGATGGCCGTTGTCAGTAGAGATATTAGTTAGGCAAATACGAGAATGCATTGTGCATCTCTAACTAAATAGATAATTTCCAAGCCGTGTTCGAGGCTTAGGTTAGAGAAGCAAATACCAATAAGTAATGTATCCCACAAAAAGCATTAGAGAGCCATCGTGGTAGTTTACCAGATATTCGTCTGTATCTTACCGACCTAGAGGAAGGTTCCTGCAGTTCGCCACAGGACATCCTCTCAGAGTGTCCAGACTAGGTAACTTATATACGGCATGACGCAGAGGCGCACCTAAGAAAATACCGCTTGTAAAAAGGTTAACCTTTTTTTCCCTTAACTATCAACATGCTCAAACTTGACGAAGATTCAACTGGCTGTTTGAAAAAACTCAATTTTTTTATGCATAATATACAAAATTTGTTCCTGTTGGGACGCCATAATAATAGGTAATACACTAGATGGAACTTTTTTTTAAGCCTATGAATTCCTTGCCTTTTGAAAATGATATACTAATATACCAATACCCCGTTATATGCTTATATTATTGGCATTAGCTAATATGATTCAACTCCTCTCGTTGATACCCTATATTTCGATCTTGTATTGCACAAGGTAGAGTTATATTAATAAATTCACCTTTATTGGCCCATTTTTACTAGGAAACATCCGCTCTTTACGTACTTTTGCCCATGGGGCCAGCGGGACATCTCGAGTCCTAGCTAATAAGTGAGCCGTGATAAAATCCAGGGGTAATGAATGGTGTACATAATAAAATGTTAGTGCAGGTTTGTTTTGTGCAATATTCATGAAATGAACCCACATGACATACATAACACTGTATGTATATTTATATTGTGCCTTATCTAATAGGGACCTAGGCAACATCCCCAAAGCCGGGGGGCAATCTGATAAATCTGGAAATCTGGAAAATCTGCCAAGGGCTTACCAAGGACTTACCATGTCCCTTGCCCCCAAAATAACATAATCCAGTAAGCCAATAACTTCAAAGCATACTTAAACCCGTATATTACCTGATCATGAATAAGGGTCCAATTGAAAACCAATTGAAAACCATAGGACGAAACTTTAAAGTAAAATAACTGAAAAGACAACTCAATTCGTTCTACTTAACCTTTCTGATGATTACCTAGGCACTTTCAAGTAAACACCGGATAAAGTTAAAGGTTCTTAGATACCCTTTATGTATAATCCCCCCGCTCTCCTCCCCCCCTTTTTTTCTAAGTATTTACTCTACCTCCGAGCCGTTGGAACTTTTACTTCAGCTATCAAACGCAAATGAGGGGAGCCTCCGACATTGCCAATAATTAGTTCGGCCTTGTCAGTGTGATTCTCCATTTTCTCAAGTAGAACGATGTATATCGACCGACCTCAGGCTATATTCTCCGACAACGCAGCTGAAATTATCCTTATGTAGTAGCCAGCTTTTTTACGTTAAGCGCATTGGTATATGAATTTCTCTGGATACTCCATGATGATTAATTCATAACCTCAATCAGGCTATGCAACCGGCGAATCGGGAATTTCCAGCAAACCTGAGGCGAGTCATGGACCGAAACCTGGACGACCTGCCATTTATGTACATATAGTATCTTCACCGAGCACCAATAAAAGCAATGCTACGACGCCGAAGGTCACTTGGACATTCTGATAGCTCCTTATTTGTTATTTAGAAGACGGATACCTAATTCCTAGAACCATTCTCCAGCCTTGACAGCGATGACTTGCATGGAACTACAAACCCTAGGGCGCGTTCCGCTGGCTTGGTAGCTGGCTTCTGTCATAGGTAGGTAGCTACGGGGAGGTATCGAGTCATAACATTGTGGCGGAAACGGAAACGCACAATACCTACACTACCGTAGCGTACACTACTGAGGTGGATTACCGCTAGGCGGCCGGCGGCGACAATTCGGGAATGCATAGCGTATACTATGTACTGTATTGTACATACATGCATACATACCTAAGGTACATACCTAACATACCTACATGACATGACAGTATGTGTAACCCTAGTGGCATCCGCCCCGATGGGTACGCGATGATCCCCTCTGCTGTTCTAGCCGGCTGTCAAATCTCGCCGGGTTAGCATGTTTTTGGCAAAATCCCCGTACCCCGTCCATGAACGATCTGCATCGTCCAAAGCTGCAAGACAGATCGGTGCCGAGCCGTGATATGACCTCCATATCTTCATGTGTTGCGATTGGTTCCCCATGCACTCCTCAATAACTGTCAATCTCGCGCTAAGTTGCTCGCCTTCCTGTAGCACAGTTTGGAGAAGGCAGGCAATATTACCTTACAAGTCGTATTTCGTAGTAAGACTCTATTTCTAAGGGGTGATCTGATCATATGCTGTGGTATGGATAACGTGATGCTGAGGATCCGAGTCAGTTACTAATCTACCCGCGAGACGTTAATAATGATGGTAGCAATGGTGCCTTTGGTAGCGTCTAGAGCCTGCTCCGGACCCTTTCAAAGCCGATGCCCTAATTCCATAGTCGGGAAGTGCAGGCTGGCAGACTGGCAGACTACTCTCGAGTGTTCATGCAGGCGCTAGGCGTTGTCGCTGAACGGAATCATACAAGGTAATGAATAGTTTATATTTTATACGCCGAGCTTCATGCAAGTTGGTCCAGTGTAAAATATTGACAGGCAGACTTTTTAATCAAGCCACGTCTGATATGTGTAGTGTAGGTATATGAGTATGTAATGCAGGCTTACCATACCATCCGAGGAAAGATAACGTTGCCACAATGACATTTTATTAGGGGCGTTCTAGAGCTATCATTGGCACCGCTTGGTGTATGCCAACGCTAGGTTGGGATGGCTGGGATGGATGTCCTTTGCCCTCTACCCTATACGTACCCCTCACCTAGCCTCTTCGTCAACCTTGTGCGGACTTTGACCGCATACACTTACACATACCTACCTACATACAATACATAGGTAGGTACATATAGGGAGTACCTGAGGGAGTACCTAAGGTAGGTAATAATACATGACCGCAGATTTTTGACACTTGGTGGGCTTAATTGGAGACTTGACATGTAGATTCCACCCTCTTGTTGTAGTTTATTGTAGCGCAGCTCTTCAAAATGTCTAGGCAGCAGTTGAGATTTCGATCCGGTTGGTCCCAAGTGCAAAATAGGTACGATCTGAAGTTTACAGTTTTTGCCAAGGGTCGCAGATCTCTTTCCCCATCCAAGCAAGGGCCATCTTCGCAATCCCGAGAAGCTGGGGTGGTGACAGAACGATCCCGTGCGCCGCCCAAGCGCCTTGTGCTCGTAACGTGGTGTGCGTGGTGTGCGTGGTGTGCAACTGGTCCAATTGCGTTACGGGGAGGACAAAAGAGAGACAACGACAGCGGAACAGCTGCAGGTTAATGAATCCGGATCCATGACCACAAACCTGGTTCCCGGGTTCCGTCACGTTGATCTCGCTCACTTGTCACATCCCAACCCTGCCAACTTTTCGACCCGGTGCATACATAGTAACCACCATCCCGTTGGGACGCATTCGAGCTACCGATAAATACAAACCGACAAGACCGGTTATTTTCTAGCTTCTAGCTTGGTGTTCACGTATGTCACCTATTTTAGGGGTTCAACCATTCTTGCGATTCTTATTCTTATAACTACCTAATCAGTGTCACGAAGCAATACTTAGTATGGTATGTACCGGATGGACGTGAGAGAGACTTGGAACGGTCGTCTAGTTTTTATTCGGCTTCGGATTCGAATTCGAAACCGCGTTCCGCCTGTCTCAAACGGGATCGAATGTAGGTACCTATAGACCAAGACGGGTTATGATGGCGAACCCTACTGTGGCATGCAAAGGCGTATCAAAGGCGTATCTACCTAAAGTTATGACCGTAGCCTATGCGGATGCGCTGAATT